TCTGAGCGCGTTGCTGCAACACCAGTTTCTCTTCTTTCTTGTGGTAGACATTTTGTCAAAGTTCAGAATGGGTTGTTAGGACTCAACCGTTGTATAAATAATTTAAGAAAAACTAGAGTCAAATTGCATGCATGACTAAACATTTTCTGTTATGAAATCTTATCCTGATAAAAGCTCTACGGGCTAGCTCAAGTGTCGAGAGAGGGTCGGAGAGTAAGTTAGGATTCGGGTTAAGTCTATAGGTCGATTCCCTTAAGTTCGATAATTAGGTTAGGATTCGGGTTAAGTCTATAGTTCGATTCCCTTAAGTTTGATAATTAGGTTAGGATTAGGGATTAATCTGTTTAGGGATGGGAAAAATAACCATGGGTTTGGGTAACCACAGTTACTTGCCCATTTAAAGTTCACGGTTACGGTTATAGGTAATTGTTTAGACGAACAAACGGTTATGGGTACAACCGTTTATCCATGAAATTTAAATGAGCGGTTATGGGTATTACCCGCAATTATAACGGGTATCCATCAGTTATGAGTATTATCCGCGGTTATAACAAATATCCATTTACCCATTTAATTTAAGTAAAATTTAAAAAATAAATAAAAACCCTAAATTTTCAATCTCTCTGCTAGCCTCAAAGTTTCAAACGCCCTGTCCCCCGCTCATCTCTCCCTCCTTGTCGTGCTTCGTTCGTGGTTGTAAGCTTTTATGTTGAACTGCATTAATCTTTTGTGTTCTGATTTGATATTGTTTGTATCGTTTTCGCCTACGATGGTAATATTTGGTACTTTTGTTAAAATTTGCTTTTGTTTGCGCATAAAAGTACAACAAATCAAATGCAAGAAAGAACACAAATGAGTCAGTTTCATTGTCCTTTCTACTTTTAGTAGTATAACTTGTAGCACTCGCATTCATCTCCATAGAGCAACTCCATCCTTAAAAAAATGTGCTAGCACCCAGCCCATTTTGATCCACTCAATGAATAATGATAGACCCCAATGAACAGTAATACGCCAAATGCATTTCCACTTCTACAAAATGTGTTGGAACTCAGTTCATTTAAAATATTATTAAATTTTTTTATAAAATAATAAATACAAAAATTGTTTTAATTTTGGATATGATTTTTAACCAATCTCTTCACGCCATGTGTCATTATCATAATAAAATTACATAAACTCATCAAATAAGCTTAAAAAAACACACTAAATAAAATTACATAAACTCATCAAATAAACTTAAAAAAAAACACACTAAATAAACTAAGAACTTTATTGTTCAACCACAAGATCCTTTTAATTATCTTGAACTTGTTGCAATCCCCATTGATGCTCAATCAAGTTACTTTGACGGGTACAGTGCCAGTATGGCTCTTGTAATGAAGTGTACTGCTCAACGATCAATTGATTGTAACATCTATCCCGTTCCAATGGCTCGTGTTGCACGGGATCTTAGGTGCCGTCATGAGCATAATAGATACGTGTTTTTGAGTTGTTTATTATGTTCAGCTCGTATTCGTCGACGGCATCATAATCATACTCATCTTCCACAATCATGTTGTGGAGAATGATACACGTCATCATGATGGATTGAAGTGCCTCGACATCAAACATTCTGGCAACTGACCTGACAATCGCCCAATGAGCTTGCAGGATACCAAAACAACGTTCCACATCCTTCCTACACCCCTTTTGACATTTTACAAAGTGTTTTTCATTTTCACCCTTCCTTAGTAGCCTTCACAGATCTATAGGCGTCGGTTTTCGGAGGTACTCCTTCGTATAAAGGGCTTCGATTGCGGAGCAAAACCGTATCAGGGACTAAAAAATAGTTGATTTCCCATCCTCATTATGTCATCCACTTGATCTGTAGATGCTCCATGTGCAAGCATCTGCAATGCAGCAGTAACTTTTTGCTCAATAAGAAGACCTAGAACATGAAAAACATCCTTTTTTTTGTGTGCACAAAGTATTGATCATGGTTGCAAATAGCACTCATGATTTTCTCAAACAAACTTCGTTGCATTCTAAAACGACATCTAAAAACACGATCAGGGAATACACAGTTGGGGATAAAATAATCTTCCAAAAGATTTCAAATCCAAATTTTTTTTTACTGTTGGAAATCCAACGGCACAGGATCAGCCACGTGGCCTCCCTATCGTTGCGCTGAGTGCGCCTGCGCAAACAGGCCCTGGCTTTGGATTCTTGTAGGCGACGCGCGTGCTTCCCATGCGCCTGGCGCAAAAAAATTTCAAACGGCCTCTGACGCCATGCTGGCGTCATATGGGCTAGTCAACAAGCCTGTAGATTTTGGGTCGGCCTGTGGCCTGGTTTGGGCTAGGGTGGAGCAAAAATAAGGGAGGTCGATCCATTTTTTGGGCTGGGTGCCATCTTATAAGGCTAGGGTGGAGTTGCTCTTAGTTGCTGGTTTAGGTACTCACTGTATATTACATGATGTGGTTCTGCATTGGATCAGATCTTATTGGCGATAATGGTAATGCAGAAGAGTATGTATACATACATAAATACGCATATGATCCTGTAATATCTGATTTTTAAACTTTGTAATTACTTGAAAATAATGTATAGATACAAAGTACTAATCGGAGCAAGTCTTGATGTATGAAAATAAGTGTTATGAACTTAATCGGAGCAAGTCTTGATGCATGCTAAAATGTACGTACTTATAACGGTATTTAATTATCAGAAAACGAAAATTATGACAAATTTTTCTTTTGTAATTTTCAAGTTGTTAAAAAAAGAAAAACATGTAGACGGGTGAAAAAGAGGTAAATGGGTAAAAAAATGATAAAGGAGTTCAAAAATAGGTAAACGGGTAAATGGTTATGATTAAATGGGTAAACGTTATGATTAAATAGGTACACGGTTATGGGTATAGTTAACCGTTTATAAACGGTTATGGGTATGAATATAACCGTTTATGCAATTACCCAACGAGTAAACAGTTATGTGGGTTTGAACAATAACCGTGGTTAACCGTTCGCCATAACCGTTGCCCATCCCTAAATCTGTTGTACATTTATGAAGAAGCATGGGATGCGGAAGACGTCCCCGTATCCGTATCAAAGGAGGTTTGATTAGTTTTACAGACTGTCTGTGCTGCTCTCTATTGAATTGTTGGGACCCAAATTCCTTTCAGCTGTCCAATTTTGGCCTCTGTGAATCCAGACTGGTCTTGTGACTCTTGTCCCCCAATGGGGTATGGTGGGTGGGTGTATTTGGCGTCAACCCGCGCATCTTAGCAAAACCATGCTCGTCTTTGCCGCCGTGCGCTGGGAGTTAACTGTGTCTGTCTGTACTGTGAAGTCTTGGGGTACTGTTAGTCTGTCACTGTTTTAGTGAGTAAATTCAACGGGAGAGTGGGCGCAAATAGTTAAGAGGAAGAGCAAGTACTCTGGACATGCATATGTGCTTGTATTTATTTGCTGTGTGAGATCCTTGACCTAAATGGAACATAAATGGTGGCAATTTAATGCTTCGGAACTACCATTCTCACACATGCTGAATTTTTTGTTTGGATATTTAGTACAGAACGGTAAAAAGTTATGTTACGAGGTTGATTTTTTACTGTAGATGCATAAGCAAGGTCATAATGCATCAACAGTTCGTTCATGAACGAATGACTATAACATTATAATTACTTTGCAAGATTGATTTCTGTCATTAATGCATGCATGTAAAGAGCTCACAGCACTTCAATGGTCCGTGTTACCGTGTGTGAGCGGGTGACTAGCATTTTTATTACTTTATCTAATTGCACGACTAATTTCTTATCATTAATGCATGTATATAAAGAATTCAGAGTGTGTGAACAATGTGTATAAGCGAATGACTGTAACATTGTCAGTTACTTTTATTTAAATGCCTTGCTTTCTGTCGTATAATGTAGCAAATAATGTTGCAACTTTTTTTTTATACCTTTTTTTTGAAACATCAAAAGAGAAAAGGTGGAGAACTATTGAGCTTTGAGATTTGTAGCATCCTAACTTTCTGAGTCGTATCAAAGCGTTATCCCATTGTCCCTCAATTATTCCATGCATTCATCATAGAGATATGAGTTGCTCGCAATCTTTTCCCACCGACTTCAAATCTGTGAGTGTCGTGGGAAACTTATGATGCCTTTCACATGCCTTGGGTTTGTCTTTTGCCAAAAGCTAAAACAAGCACTGCTCCAAAGTAAAAGTAGATACAAAAATCCTTGAGTTTCATTTTCAATTGCAAACCAACTTACTCTAAATTCATTACTCAATACTGCGTCTCAGTATTGAATGGTACAAGAAATAAAATGTAACATCCCACTGTCCACATCGTCGAGGGGAGTAGATCCTGTAAACTTTATATGTATATCTCATCTCTACCTAGCATGAGGCTTTTTGGGAGTTCACTGACTTCGAGTTCCATCGAAACTTTGAAGATAAACGAGTTCGGGTGAGGTCAATCCCATGATGGGTGACCTACTGGGAGGTTCTCATGTGAGTTCCCAGAAACAAAACCGTGAGGGCGTGATCGGGACTCAAAGCAGACAATATCGTGCTACGTTGGAGTCGAGCCTAGGGTGTGGTGGGGGCCCAGACCGGAATGTGACATAAAAGGCTAAAATAATAATAAATAAATGTAAACAGTTGTAAAAATCAAAATTAACGTCTAAACATCTAATATTGAATGATAAGTAGCATTGAAGCTATACCTATCAATTTGATCATTTCCGAAATGATATGTTGTCAAATTGCATTCAAACATGTTTACATATTTACAGTCGAAAATATAACGGGATAATTTTGTAAGCAATCACATGTAAATTGTATTTGAAATTTGAGAATTATCATTTGCATTCTAAATTAATCATTGTGCACATTACGTATTTTAAACAATCGATTTTATTATGTGACAACTGATGTTTATATCGATCGATTATGTTCCTCTACATCTAACATTGGGTAGACCTCATACAATAATTTCCTAGCTTTAATAAGAGGCAATTTTTAAGCATTTGAGATTACCAAGTAGATAATACCATTTCCCATGCAAATAATACACAATATATAAATAATACATTACAAATATCTCTCTCTCAATCTTATGAAAAAGATATTGTACTTGATGCTCTATTTCACGTGCATGCATATGCATTTCTGCCTTTTTCTTTATCCTTTCAACCAAATTATATAGAAATAGAACTTAATACTTTTTTTATAAAATTAAAAAAAAAATTATATAAAAAAAGTGCATATGCCCGGAACTTCGGAGTGAAACGAAACCGGTACGATAACTTATACAATCCATACCGGCCGAATCCACACGATCAACAAGTACTCAGCGGGTTCCCGCAGAGGCAATCATTGTTGGTAAACGACGACACTTCCAGGTGATCGAACGGGTTCCCCACAGGAATCGCCCCGCACAGGTGGTTGTGGCTGAGATCCAAGTGCCCGATATATTTCGCCGCCGATAATGAACCGGGTATCGGGCCCTTTAAATTGTTGTACGATAAATCCAGTGCCATGAAGTACGAATTTCCGTGGAAAACGTCCGGTATGTTACCTTCGAACCCATTTCGGCTCAAATTTAAGATCCCCATACCCCGATTGCTCAAAACGGACGCTGGCAATTGACCCGAAAACTTGTTTCCGTCCAAATTCAACGTCGAAAGAACCTGCATTTTCCCAAGACAGTCCGGTACGGAACCCCACATTTGGTTCCTGGACAGGTCCAGGTCGGCCAACCGGTTCATGTTGCCAATGGAATCGGGGATCGACCCGGTGAGCTGGTTTCGGTTCAGCAGAGCCCGGCTCAGCATCTTGAGTTTTCCGAAATCGGCCGGTAACTCGCCCGTGATTTGGTTGTTGCTGAGGTCCATGTGCATTAGCCCGGAGAGGCCAACGAGACTCGCCGGAATCTTACCGGAGATCTGGTTATCGGCGAGGTTGAGGACTCTGAGCATCTTGAGGTTGCCGATATCGGCCGGAATCTTGCCCGAAATCTTGTTTCCGACGAGATCGAGAACTCGGAGGTTGGAGAGGGTGGTGAGGCATTGGGGGATCTCACCGGTGACCCCCTTCCAGTCAGCGAGAACGAGGGTAGTGAGGCGGTCGAGGCTGCAAATTTTGGGCGAGATAGATCCTGACATGAACCCGGACTGACCGGATTTCTTGAGTATGGGGTCCTCCGATTCGCCTCGGAGATTAATGTCGACGACTCGGCCGGTTGTGGGATCGCAGCTGACTCCGTACCAGTTTACGCAGCAATCGGTTCCGACCCAGGAGTTGAAGATGCCCAATGAGGAATCGGTGAGTCCGGTTCTGATGGATTGAAGTGCTGCTAGGTCTGATGGGGAACAAGAAGAGCTCACAGTAGAGACAATGGCACAGAATGTTGCCACTGAGATTAAGAGCAACCTCATCATCTTCATGGTAGAGAGAGAGAGAGAGAGAGAGAGAGAGAGAGGTTCTCTCTAGCTGTTCACTTGATAAGAGTGGATGGATGTCTGTGACTGTAAGTGTTATTGCATGAGAGAGAAAGAGGAGAGAGAGAAGCGGAGATGGGGGCTTGGAAGTTGATGGAGTGAGATATATAATATATATGCAGGAGCACCAAGGATGTGAGGGCAACAGAGGTTCACTGTGCATGTGCTTACAGGTTTAAGGATTTAATCGAATATCTATGAAGCATGGATACAGATACGGATACGGCGATACGATACGACACGACGCGCGATACAGAAAATCTCTAAAAATTAAGATACGATACGTTATGGATACGGCAAATAAAAATATATATAGCAACAAAAATATACATTTTAAAACATAATTCATCATTCAAATTCAAATACATTTGAGTTGTTAGAGAATGAAAGTTTGAAATCTAATCCTATTTATACAGTAGAAGAAGTGTGAGAGTCGTATTCATGGTTTTAATTAGAGGAAAGCTCTTTGTATTTAGCAAATTTCAATTATAGATGTCTCCTATTAATTTTCTCTTCCTCATTACTTTGTTTTGAAAGTGTAAATGTATCTTAAAAGCAGGATACGTGTATCCTAAATGTAGGATACGCATATCCATCGTGTCAAATTTGTGTCCATCAACCAGGATATGTGTCGGACGAGTATCCGAAAGTATCAGGCAAATATCGTATCCGATCAAGTATCAGATACGGAATACGGGACCAAACAGAAGTATCCGTGCATCATAGTCGAATATGGATTTGCACATGCAAATGTTGATTAACAATGCATGCATGGACAATACGATAGATTTTTCAATGTGAAGGGAACACGAGATGATACATGTGTGTTAAAAAGTTAATAATTTAAAAAATAAAAAATTTCATCACTTATATAAAAACACGTGGTGTACTACTCGTGTTCCGGTCATAATAAAAAATTTCTCCACCAATACAACTTAATTTAAGGGTTTTTATTTATTTTTTAATTTTTTGCACTGGTTCCCCGGTGAATGAATCCCATGTAATATAATAATACTCATTTACCAAAGCAAATTGGTTTGGTTGTGAAAACTTTGCGCTTTGCGCTAAAACTAAAGGTGGCCATGGTAATTTTGAGGGAGTGATTTCCGTCTTTTCACCTTTCACCCTTCACCTCTGGCACGTCCCTTTTGCAATTGATTCTTCTTTCTGTTGAATACATTATCCAGTAGCTGAAAGTAATAATATTTATGTATTTTATTTTAGTATATGTTCAATTTCCTTATCTTCTAACATTTAATAATTTAATTCACTATATAACACAGTCATTTGTCAAAAAAAAAAAAAAATTGTGCATGAAGTGAAAAACGAGGTTCATAAATCATTTTTCCATAAAAAACTGGATCAATACGGACAACATTACATTGTAAGTGTTTTTTGTTTTGTTTTTTGAGATAGAACCTCAAACCCAATCTCAATACTCACCTATGTGGCCATGTGATTCCCTCAAATAAATAGGCTAATAATCCACCATAGGAAGATTTGGAGTCCTTTTCCACATTTTCTGAGTTCCTCCTAATTAATATCAAGACATCTTTAATGACTCGTCTATGTAACTATAATTAAATTTGGAGATGTTGAATTGAGGAGGAGTTGAATGGGATAGGATCAGAATCAAATTCTTGTCGAAACTGTCTATTAAAATTTTCAAGAATCGAAATAGGAATAATATTGAATTATACAGCTGTTTACTAATTCACATGAATCACAATGAAAATCAATGTGATTACTATAATGTCCATATTATAATAATTTATTGGGTGATTTTGTTTAAAATCAATTAAAGGTTATGATATTAACAATAGGTCAATCAAATTTATTGGAATTATAAATAGGTCAATAAGACTTTAAAATACATTAAAACACCTCAATCAAATTAAAATTACAAATGATGCCATTACTATATAAAACACCAAACCTTTTGCATCTCCTTCATTGTAAATCGTGCCTCCCACCACCTTCAGACTTCAACCTCCCTGCCTCCCACCACCTTCAACCTCCATTACTTCAACCTCCCCTGCCTCCCACCACCTTCAACCTCCATTTTTTTGGACAGTGCAACAAAATGTTTATTTCCTGTTTTGTGATTGTGCATTCAGATTCAAATAAATTTATTCAGACGCTTCGTTGCAGTTCTGTTTCCTGTTATGTGATTGTGCATTCGAATTCAAATATGTTTGTGGATTCAGACACTTCGTTATAGTGTTTGTTTCCTATTCTATGATTATGCATTGAGATTCAAATAGGTTTGTGGATTCAGACACTGCAACGCATTGTCTGTTTCTTGTTCTGTGAATTTAGACACTTCGTTGCAGTGTCTATTTCCTATTCTGTGATTATGCATTGAGATTCAAATAAGGTTGTGAATTCAGACACTTCGTTGCAATGTCTGTTTCCTGTTATGTGATTGTGCATTGAGATTCAAATAGGTTTGTGGATTCAGACACTGCAATGTAATGTCTATTTCTTGTTATGTGAATCCATATCGAAAACTAATGAAGAAAAAGACCGGAATGCAGGGGAGGTGGCCTGAAAACTTCAAATAGCCATAACGGGTTCATTTCTCAGCAAAATTCTAAGATTCAAAAGCCAAAATAAAGCTCAAGAGGTAAGGAAGAGAAATATACCTAATTGAGGTTGAGCCGTGACCCTAGTTGTCGGAAAATACCTGCAACCTTGCCGATCCTTTGCCAAAAACAGGGGAAAATTTCTCTGAGTTGACTTTCGTTAACCTTCACCAAATCAAACGGATTTTCACATTCAAACTCTGGCATAAGATCAGAACCATAAAAAGGAAGAAGTTCATGAGTTCCCAACCCTTACCTAGTTGGAAAATCACAAAGCCTCGCTAGAAAATATGGAGGTAGATGTATGAGTTCGAGTTCGTAACCTGGGGTCTCAGTTTTAGTACTGGGATATTGGAGGACTTTGTTGAGGTCGAGGAGGCCATGTTGCATTCATAGAGAGAAAGAAAGAAGGATAAAAGAGTTAAATTTTAACTACATATAATGACTTAAAGAACATGTGGCACTCATCATTGACCTATGTTTAATTAATAAAAATATGTCATTGATTAAGTTCAAAACAAAAACATGCCATTGATATATGACTAAATAGTAAAGTTTTTATTGATTTTTTTTACTAAATTACCTTAATTTATTTTATATGCTAATTCTTTTTTGTTTTGGTAAAATATATTTTATTTTATTTTAACTTTGTGAAGGGCGCAAAATGTGGTGTCAGGTTAATGTGAAGGGTAATTCTGGAATTTTATAAATGAATGGTATAATGGGAAGGAAAAATCCTATGATTCTCCTAATAATCCGAAATTCAATTCTCATCAAATTGTAGGCATCCAATTCCTCTAAATTTTGAAGTTAGATTCCAAAATTTGTTTGGATCCCCACCAAAATTTAAATTTCTCAATAATTAGAAAATATCAGAATATTCCGTATTTGAAATTCAATTCCTTATTTTTAATCAGATTTCTCTACGTGCCATGAAATGAAATCACAAGTTTCGATTAACTAGCGAAGCAAAGCAAAGCATGATAATCCAATCCACACATATATGTCCCCACCATGATACCAATGTTTCAATTAGATTTCAAATCCAATGATTGAAGGGCTTTTTATCTCCCTAATTTAATTAGTGTCCCTACCTTATTATATATAATCATCATTGAACCAATTAAACGTCTTCACCAAGTAATTATAGTATACACTATAATCATATAATAATATCGGTCATCAAGTTATCACCCTAATTATTTTTGACACCGAAAGATAATTTTTCTACAAAAACCATAATGGCTTTAATTACTTTGTCAATTATTACAATCCCCATTTGCTTTTCAAATGATGCAACGATCAATTGACATTGGTCCATTACAAAGTTTCAATTAAAATAAATAAATGCTATAAATCTCTGGTTTGGACTTTTTATATCTATATTTCTCCTTTCTTATTTTGCAATTTTGTTTGCCGATCTAAAATGTCTATTTTTTAGGTCATTCTTGAAGATTATTTAATCTAAAATAATTTAATCATCTACTTATTATCCTATATATATAGACCATATTTTTAGTTACACACTACAATTATAACAACGTTAATCTAACCATCTAATGATTTATAATTTGGTAGATTTTCCACAAATTTAGTCCTTAATTGATCACATCATGCATGTGGACTAATGATATTCTCTATTATTATTGAATCTATATCATTATTCAAGACAATCATGATTATTATCTTAGCCTATAATTATCATTCATTATTGAAGACTTATTCTTCCCATTATTAGCTTATGTTTTGTTTTCTTTCAGTCCACTACCAATACATATGTATATCGACTTATTTGGTATGCATAAACGTTTTTTTGGGTTTTTATTTTCACTCAGTTTGGTTCGGTTCGGTTTCCTAGTTTTCCGGTTTTCATTCACCATTACAAGCTATATAGGCCTAACAATTTGTTAAATGATTGTGTTTGCCATTTTGTAAAATAGATATTCCAGTTCATGGAGTCCCCAGTCTATGTGTCTTATCCAATATCCACTCTTTCGGCACCGAAACTTTTAACAAAGATGGGGGCATAGAACTTGGAACATGTTTTGGTCCTTGCACCTTGCAACTTAATTTGTCTGTCCCCACTGCTGCTGCTGCTCTACTCTACTAAATTTTGATCGATATATGGAGGTTCATTATTTCAGACTTCATTCATTTGCTCTTCTTTTCCTGCTCGTTTTATTTATTTGAAAACCATTCATGCTGGTTCACTAATTAACCAAGACTTAGTTTCTTTGTTAATGAATGAAACCACCATCTCCAATCATGCTCAGTATTTTTTAAGTCGAAATATAATTGTAATTTTCTTGAATCATAGAATGTAAGTGTTTGCATATGATTTTACACTATCGGTTTGTACAATCGAAGCTGTTGAATAAGTATAGTTTTAGACCGAATAAATGGGAAGCAAATTATATACTGGAAGCAAAACAACGCATGTATGGATCCAATTGAAAGTCGTGGACAACAAGGAGTTCAAATAACATGTGCAGAGATGGGATAATTATCACCACCAGA